ATTCAAGCTAAATTGGATGCTCAGGTTTCACCCCTAGCAAATATGAGAAGAGTATGTGACAAGTCAACTGAACTCTTCCCATGAGATGTCAGTGCTGGCCATGGTAACACATGCTTTTTAGACACCTCTCATTTGGCTTGTATTTCATTTCTGACAAGTGTTTGCAACTTTCTCCATTTCCAAAATGCTGGAGCCTGATTATTGACTAGGGCTGGTTACATGCCAGCTAAATTAGCTATGCCTCCATGTCCAGATACAATGCAAAGCTGTAGTTATAACTGACAAAGCTCCCTATGACTTGAAACCGGGTTATCTGGAGAAATGTATTGTCCTTGTGAACCTGCTGATATCTTCAGGGAGGGCTATCTCTTGGTTCCCGTCTGAAGCATAGTTTTGAGGATGTGAGAGAGGACCTTCATTTTGTCTGCTCCTGAGCTGTGAAACGTCCTTCAAATGAACCTATTCTGGCATCTTCTCTGAGGCTGTTAGGAATTGTGGGAGTTAAAGTCCAAAGTTTGCCCATGCCTGATCTAAAACCTACTTCTGTTAAGTGCATAAATGCTGTAACAACAACAAAACTTTATTTATATACTGCTCTATATCCCCGAGGGGACTCAGAGCGGTTTCCAAGTAACATCATCAATACATACGGAGTAAACAACATAAACATAAAATTAACAAAGCAATATAAGCATAAATAATCACAGCACATATGTATTTAAAATAATCCTACCTGTTCAAGGCAATTTTAAAAAGCTGGGTTGAAGCTAGTGCAATTTCTAGGGGGCCCTGGAAATTAGGTGCAATGTTATAGCAGGTAACAACAATAATAGGTATAGTCTATGGCTGTTCACATCCAATGTCCTTTTGTCATCTGACAAAATGTTCAGTCAAAAATAAAGATATAAGAAATGCATATAAAACAAAGGGCCAGAGCCAACTAAAGTCCACTCTCATTGGATTTTGTGTAAATGGATTACCAAGGGGGAGGGATGCTGAGAAGGGAAAAGAAAGGTGATCCAGTACTCCCAGTTGAGATGGAGTCAAAATTTCTTGGGCTGTATAATGAATGCAATTTGAAACTACTTTAATTTCCATAATTGAATGCTATGTGAAATAAATGTAGGTGTAGTTTGGTGAGAAGAGGCACGAAGAGAGGGCAAAAGGGAGAAACGTGCCAAGAGGAAGGCATGTCAAGTAAATCTTTCTCCTGACCGCCTTCCAATTGGAAATTGATGTCCTCATTGTGAAGGACCATGCGGATCCACAATAGGTCTCTACAGTCACTGACAGATCTGTCACCAAGACTCAATCTCTGGAAGACAGTCATAGTTGGCTACCACTGATCGCCCATGATGTTGATGATCATGAGTTTAGGGTGGTTCCCTCTTTGGGAGAGAAGGAGAAAGACCATGGACTTCATCAGATGGCAGGCACGTGGCCAGGATTTTAATTTGGGGGGGGGGGGGGAAGATCTACCCTAGCAAACCTTTTGTATCATTACCCCAATACCCCCATGCATATGGGATATAGTGAGCATGGTGATCAGATCATGATATGAATAAACATAACAGTTTAAATAATGTACCAGTAAGGCCTTCTCACGGACCACCCTGAGAATTTCAGGGGGGGGGGTGAAGCCCCTCAAGTGCCAAGGAACAGTGGGGGAATCCATGGGATGTTGGAATTCAATCCCACGCTGCCCAAGTCCCCAGACCTCAATGAGAAACATGTTAGTTAGCTTAGAATAGTCTGAGGGTTTGCCTTCCCCATGTCTCCTGAATAACAGTTGGGAATGTATCTATCTCTTCTCTCCTCTCTGATTCTACTCTCATTCTGATTGGTTGTGTAGAATGGATTTTTCCACTGCAAGCCTTTACTTTGACTTCAGTTTTTCCTCTGAGTATGTGCTGTGTGCTTTGAGATCTCTCTCTGCTTGTGTGTCAGGAGAGATGTATTGATTGGTGTATTTTCCCTTTCTTGAAACCTTAGAAGAGATGAGTAGCTCAGACCCAGTTATTTACTATGAAGAAATGCATTATTACTTTCTATTGTAAATAAACCTTTTGTGATTTTTAAAGATAGGACTCTGCATGTTTGCCTGCCTAAGATTTAAATTCTTTACAGCCAGATCACGTACTTCATGCTCTGCATTCTGTGAGCTGATACTCAACTTTAAGTGTCCTGCTTATATTTTGGATGCTCTGCTTTATTTCTGAGTGGTTTTTTGTTGGGTTTTTTTTGTGTGTGTGTCAGGAGCGACTTGAGAAACTGAAAGTCACTTCTGGTGTGGGAGAATTGGCCATCTGCAGGGGCATTGCCCAGGGGATGCCAGAATGTTTTGATGTTTTACCATCCTTGTGGGAGGCTTCTCTCATGTCCCCAAATGGAGAGCTGGAGTTGACAGAGGGAGCTCATCCATGCTCTCCTCAAATTCAAACCAGCAACCTTCAGGTCAGCAGTCCTGCCAGTACAAGGGTCAAACCCATTACGCCACGGGGGGAGGGGGGGGGCTCCTATTCTTGGTTAGTTTACCCTAACAAAATCCTAACATGTGCCAATGGGGGAAACTGTTGGGCAGTGTCCTGTAGGGCCGTAGCCGGGGAGGGGTTAAGGTTTCTAACCCCCCCCCCAAAAAAAACCCCTGGTTTACTCAAGAATTTTAACTGGTTAGTCAAGTTAAGAGTAAACCAGGTTTATTTTTTAAAGGCAGGGTTGAACTTTTAAGCCCCCTTTCCCTCTGGCTACAGCCTTGGCATTCYGCATCATCCCCTTACCATCCCACGGTGTTGCCCATCTGCCCCTGGCCTCATCCCACACTGTCCCTGATATAGTAAATGAGAACATGGGTAGTGTTTGTTGTTGTTTATTTGTTCAGTCGCTTCCGACTCTTCGTGACCTCATGGACCAGCCCACGCCAGAGCTCCCTGTCGGCTGTCACCACCCCCAGCTCCTTCAGAGTCAAGCCAGTCACTTCCATCCATCTTGCCCTTGGTCGGCCCCTCTTTCTTTTTCCTTCCTTTTCCCCCAGCATCATTGTCTTCTCTAAGCTTTCCTGTCTTCTCATGATGTGGCCAAAGTACTTCATCTTGGCCTCCTTCCCTCCAATGAGCAATCGGGCTTTATTTCCTGGAATATGAACTGGTTGGAGCTTCTCGCGGTCCAAGGCACTCCCAGAACTTTCCTCCAACACCACAGTTCAAAAGCATCTATCTTCCTTTGCTCAGCCTTCCTTATGATCCAGCTCTCACATACATAGGTAACTATGGGGAATACTATTGCTTTGACTATGTGGATCTTCATTGCCAGTGTGATGTCCCTACTCTTCACTATTTAATCGAGACTGATCATTGCTCTCCTCCCAAGAACAAAGCATCTCCTGATTTCCTGGCTGCAGTCTGCGTCTGCAGCAATCTTTGCACCTAGAAATACAAGTCTGTCACTGCCTCCAGGTTTTCTCCCTGTTTCCCAGTTATCAATCAGTCTGGTTGCCAGAATCTTTTTTTTTTATGTTCCACTACAACCCAGCTTTTGCACTTTCTTGGGTAATAGTACAAGGGTTGAATGAAAAGTAATGCCTCCACCTTTGTAACTCAACAGATGGCAGTACTGGTATGCAGCAGGTACTAGCTTGTTCAGTAGACTCTCCTCTACAGTTCCATTTTGGCGGGAAGTCTTAGCATTGAACGGTTGTGTTACTAAAGTGTGAAGTATGGAACCTCAGATAGCCGGTCAATTCAACTTAAACAACGTGCAGTCATTGAATTCTTGACAGCAGAAGGTGTCACCCCAAAGGAGATTCATCAGAGAATGCAAGCTGTTTATGGTGATTGTGTTGATGTGAGTACTGTGCGTTGTTGGGCGAGTAAGTTTAAAGATGTTGAAGTGGGAACATCTGACTTGCGAGACAAACAAAGAGTTGGATGTCCTGTGACAGCAAGCACCGAGTTTCAGAAGCAAAAGGATGACATGTTGATTCAGGACGATTGTCTTATCACTCAGAGAGAAATTTCAAGAATAATCAGCATTTCTGTTCCCGATAATGAAAGATCATCTGTGGGGACATCAATATGTTTCTGATGAAGATCCTGAGAGAACTGTGAGACACTGGTTGTGAAAACAGAGTGTCAACTTCTTCCGTGACGGCTTCGGAAAACTTGTTCATCATTGGCAGAAATGTATCCAATTGGGTTGTTGTAGGTTTTTTCAGGCTATATGGCCATGTTCTAGAGGACTCTAGAACATGGCCATATAGCCCGAAAAAACCTACAACAACCCAATGATTCTGGTCATGAAAGCCTTTGACAATACAATGTATCCAATTGTCTGGTGATTATGTGGAAAAGAGAATAGTGGTATTTAGAGAGCACATTCTAAGGATTATTTCTGTGTTGATTTATTAGAATATTCCCATCCAAACCCAAGTAACGAAGGTGGAGGCATTACTTTTCATTCAACCCTCCTAGTTACCCGTATTCTCGGGTCAGCTTCTCAACCCGCGGCCCAGAGACAGCCCTGAGGGATCCCCCTTGGAAGTAGCCCTGTGTCATGCGATGGGCTCTGTTGGGCTCCGTCCTGGCTGCGTCTCCGAAGCGTCCTAGGATGGGGAAAACGCTCCGTGTGATGAGGTCGCTTGTAAACAATAACAGATCCATCGCCCTGAGCCACAACAGTGAAAAGCGGTGCCAAAGATGCCTTGATTGTCCGGTGTAGACGCGCTCTTGCTCTCCCCGGGAGGGATCACTGAGCCAGCCATGCCCTCCCATCACTTCCAGGAAAAGAGTGCCAAATTGGTCTGGGTGGTGAGGGCAGGGAGGGAGGGAGGGAGGGCGAGCGGGCAGCCCCCGTCCTTGGCAGATGGCCTTTACCCAGTGTGCATTGTTTCCCTGTAGCCTCCCTCTCGCTCTCCTTTATCCCTTGTAATTGGATCCTGGAGGGAGGGAGGAAAGGGAGGAGGAGGAGGAGGAGGAGGGGGAGGAGTGGGGGAGGCTGCTCCTCTGCGGCGGGGCGGAGTGTGCTTCCTTTGGGGGGAGGGGGAGAGAGGCCGAAGAGTCCCGAGGCTTTGGCCCGCGCCTCCCTCTCGCTCGCTCTCGCTCTCTCTCTCTCGCCTGCCAAGCGTTGGATTTCATTGTTCGGGGCTGATGTCACTCCCAGTTGTCACAGACGCCTCTCCCGGTGACAATGTGGGACTAGGAGGCACAAAGGAGCCCTCCGGACAGAGCCCCAAGGTAAGGGGGTCCTTCCTGGGAGGCTGCGAAGGGGTGGGCCAAGGCACGGGCAGGCGCTTCCCCTCCCCAAGATTGCCCCCAATTCGGAAGCCCCGTCCGTTCCTTGCTTGCCGCGAGCGAGGCTCCGTCTGGAGGCAGCGCCGGGAAGAGGAAAAGTTTGGAGGGACGCCACTCTCCGCCCCGGCCGGGGGAAGAGTCCGGGGGTCTTTGTCCGGACGTGGGGTCTTGCTTCCCTCTATGGCTCCCTCCAACTCCCGCTTTTGTCCTGGCAACGGCTGCTGCCCGGAGTTCGCCACCACTTCCCAGCCAGGCGCGTGGATGGGCTTCGCGTGGGTTTCCTCCCCAAGATCTGCCTTTCCTCCTCCTCCTGGGGCAGCAGCGAAGGGTCCCAACTTCGCCCCCCTTTTCTGTTCCTTCCCCCCAACTTTATCCCCCTTTTGAGAGTCCGGGAGTCGAAGCCAAGGTGTCTCTCACCCAGTAGATTCAGTTGGGATGGAGTCCAATCTTCCTGGGGTTGAATGAATGCAGTCTGGCACCTCTTTAACTGTCCTGGATCCAAGCTATGGGATCCTGGGATGTGTAGCTTGGTGAGGCATCTACCCTCTTTGGAAGAGAAAATGACCGACCTTGTGAAACTACAACTCCCACTGGGTCCCAGAGTATCGAGCTATCAAGGCCATGTTCCAGTCCTCCCAGTTGGGATGGAGTCAAACCTTCCCCAGGTTGAATGAATGCAGTCTGGCACCTCTTTAACTTCCCTGGAGCCAGCTATGGGATCCTGGGATGTGTAGCTTGGTGGGGCACCAGCCCTCTTTGAAAAAGAAGGCAACAGACTTGTGAAACTACAGCTCCCACTGGGTCCCAGAGCATTGAGCTATCAGTGCCATGTTCCAGTTCTCCCAGTTGGGATGAAGTCAAATCTTCCCGGGGTTGAACGAATGCAGTCTGGCACCTGTCCTGGATCCAAGCTATTGGATCCTGGGATTTGTAACTTGGTGGGGCACCAGACCTCTTTGGCAGATAAGATGACCAACCTTGTGAAACTACAGCTCCCACTGGGTCACAGAGCATTGAGCTATCAAGCAATAACAAGCTGCATTCATTCTACAGCAGGCATGGCCCAGCTGGGGCCCTCCCTTCTTGTGTTTTGGACTTCAACTCCCACCATCCCAAGAGCCTCGGGCCCTTTCCTTTCCCCTCTCAGCCACTTAAGCCTGAGGCGGTTAGGAACGGTGGAAGTTGAAGTCCAAAATACAGAGCAGTGTTTCTTAACTTTCCTAATACCGCAACCCCTTAAAACAGTTCCTCATGTTGTGGAGATCCCCAACCATAAAAGTATTTTGTAACTGTAATTTTGCTACTGTTATAATGTAAATATCTGACATGCAGGATGTATTTTCATTCACTGGACCAAATTTGGCACAAATACCAATACGGCCATATTTGAATACTGGTGGGATGGGGGCGGCGGCGTTGATTCATCATTTGGGAGTTGTAGTTGCTGGGATTTAGAGTGAACCTACAATCACAGAGCATTCTGAACTCCACCAATGATGGAATTAAACCAAACATATCACACAGAACTCCGATGACCAACAAAAATACTGGAATTGTTTGGTAAGCATTGACTTTGAGTTTTGGAGTTGTAGTTCACCTACATCTAGAGAGCACTGTGGACTCAATCAATGATGGATCTGGACTAAACTTGGCATGGATATTCAATATGCCCAAATGTGAACACTGGCGGAGTTTGGGGAAAATAGACGTTGCCATTTGGGAGTTGTAGTTGCTGGGATTTGTAGTTCACCTACAATCAAAGAGCATCTTGAACCCCACCAACAATAGAATTGGGCCAGACTTCCCACACAGAACCCCCATGACCAACAGAAAATGCTGTGTTTTCTGATGGTCTTTGACAACACCTCTGACTCCCCCCAGGATCCCGATCCCCAGGGTTAGAAACACTGCCATGCAGGGAGGCCCAGGTTGGCCCATGCCTGTTCTACAGCATAGCAGCACCCAAGGAATGTTCAGTGCTGAAGGGGGGGGGGGCATTTGTGGGGATGAGCGTGGATGGAGGTCTCTCTGGAAGCCCCTTTATTCCCTGTTGCTCCCTATTTATTCTCAGCTCTGGAGGGGGCACCAGATCTCCTCCTCCTCCGCCCTCCCTTTACTGGGCATCCTTCTCATGCCACTCTATTCTCAGCTCTCTCCTGGCGCTGGCCACCTGCCCTTTCCATTTGTTTCCCTTTCCAAAAGCAGGAGGCTTTTATAGCTCCAACCTGTCAGCGCAATGGGGACTCCTAAGCTCTTAGGACTTCTCCCTACTTTTTTTTTTTTTTTTTTTTGCCAGTGCACCTCCGTCTCTTTTCTGGTGAGGAACTGCTTGCCTCATGCCTGGCCTCTCACAGCCAATCCTCAGGAAAGTAAGTGGCTGAGGAGGAAAAGGAAAGGGCCTGAGGCTGTTGGGAATGGTGGGAGTTGAAGTCCAAAATACCCAGAAGGCCCAAGTTTGGCTCCAGGGGCTCAGCAAAATCTAACTCCTTCTCTTCAAGTCTGCTAGAGATACTGGGGGGGGGGGGGGGGGGGGGATTTCCTGAGGTATTCATCACTGCAAAGGAAAAGAATTATGGAGAAATAATAATAATAATAATAATAATAATAATAATAATAACAACAACTTTATTTTTATACCCCTCCTCCATCTCGGGGCGGCTTACATAGGGACAAAGCCTGAAACAAACATGGTTAAAAATATACACTCGGATATAAAATACAACAACATAATAAAATAAAACAGCAACATTGTATATAAAAGCAACTATCAAACCAAAACCAATGAACCTGCAATAGTAAACAATTCCTGGGCTCATGTGGGCAGACCGGTGCAACTCAATTGTGAAGATAGGGCTGGTGGGTAATGTGCATACATACTTCTTTGTGAAGTTTTCATGTGCCAAACGTTGTGGCAAGATGATGCCCAAATGTCAAGGCATAGTTCTCTGGGAAAGTGCTGCTCTTAGGGTTTGCCATAACATGAAAGGTCAAGGGAAGTCATGGCTCCTCTCTAGTCTGCTATGGAATAACACTGTGTCCAATTCTGAGCACCACAACTCAAGAGGGATATTGAGAAGCTGAACGTGTCCAGAGAAGGGCAACTGAAATGATCAAAGGTTTGGAAGCCAAGCCCTATGAGGGCTGAGGGAACTGGGTATGTTTAGTTTGGAGGAAAGAGGCTATGAGAGCCATATTTAAATACAATAGAGTCTTGCTTATCCAACTCACTCATCCAACGTTCTGTATGATCCAACACAGTCTGCCTCTCACCCGGATTCACTTCTGTTTGAATACATTGCAATGTTTTGGTACTAAATTCGTAAATACAGTAATTACTACATAACGTTACCGTGTATTGAACTGCTTTTGCTGTCGATTTGTTGTAAAACATGATGTTTTGGTGCTTCATTTGTAAAATCATGACATAATTTGACATTTAATAGGCTTTTCCTTAATCCCTCCTTATTATCCAACATTTTGGCTTATCCAACATTCCGTCAGCTCATTTATGTTGGATAAGCGAGAGACTACTGTATTATAAGCAAGAGGGAGCAGACTTGTTACTTGTGGGAAACTGCTTGCCTCTTGCCTGGCATCTCACAGCCAATCCTCGGGAAATATTCATTTTTGGTCCCTTGTTCTTCACAGCCCTGCCTATCTCTTCCTTTGCCTCTTCTGTCCCTGATATCTCTGCCCCATTCATCTTCCTTCCTGCCCTATTTCCAAGCTGGCAGCGCTGACAACGAGGCCCAGATTGCCATTAGGGTAATCCCCTGGGGGACAGGCTGGGTGATGATGAATCTCTACCCGGTTCCTTCTTCCATTTGCCACACAGCCTCCATTTCCCGCACCTGCCCCCTTCTTTTGGTGGCAGACTGCACCCCCCAACCCCTACATCCATCCTTTTGTTCCCAAACATTGCTGAAGGCCTTCCCTACCCACTCTGTTACTGACCAAGACCAGAGGACCGAGCCTCACGTACAATATGCAAAAGTGCCGATGGAGTTGGCAATGGTACAACCAACGGAAATGGACCTTGTCTCAGCCAGACTGGTCTCACAGCAGAGACGTTGCAAGGAATTCTAATAGACTCAATTCCCCGGCTATACAGAACTCTCCTCCCCTTTGTATTGTGGAATAGAACACATTGATGCATGTTGGCAGTGGCGATCCTGAAACAAATTCCCTTTGTTGCCTACTTAGTTGCCCCATTGTTGTGGGGTGGGAATGATTTAGGCCGCAAAGATAGTTGTGTATTTAGACTCCGAGGTCTTTGGTATGTTTATACAAGTTCTGTTGAAATCAATGAGTGTATATCAGGCATGTGCAAACTTGGGCCCTCCAGGTGTTTTGGACTCCAACTCCCACCATTCTGAACAGCCTCAGGTCCTTTCCTTTTCCCCCTCAGCCGCTTAAGTGGAGGATGTTAGGAATGGTGGGAGTTGGAGTCCAAAACACCTGGAGGGCCCAAGTTTGACCATGCCTGGTGTATAGGCTTACTTTCAGTGAAAAAATAGAGTGTAAGTCTTCAAATTCAAGCCACTTCCTGAGTTAAATGAGATGGCAATGTACCAAATGAGTCACAGAGTTTCTTTTTTCCCCTTATCCAGCTGAAACATCATAAAAAATAGAACCAATGGCAGGTAGTGAACACAATATATGATACGTAAATAAATAAGAGAGATATATGTATCCTTTATCTTGTCTGAGTTTTTAATTAGTTTTAATTAATTGTTTTTAATAATTACATGTAGCCCGCCCATTGTCTCTGTGTCTTTTGTAATTCTTATATTGTTATGTATTCATAGGTTCTATGTAATTATGATGTTGTTTATTGTTTGCGTTTTCGGTTGTGTTTTGGTTCTCTTTATTGGAATTGTTGTTTGGGCCTGACCCCATGTAAGCCGCTCCGAGTCCCCATAGGGGAGATGGTGGCGGGGTAC